TCGTCGTCATTGTCGCCGCCGTCGCCGTCAGTAGTGCGTCGTCTTCGTCGTCCTTCGACGTCGTCCTTCGTCGACGTCGTCGTCGCCGTCGTCGTCGTCGTCGTCGTCGCCGTCGTCGTCGTCGACTACAATGGGCCTGCGCAGCATCCCACCCATGGGGCATCCGCAGCGCGTCGTCGTCGTCGTCGTCGTCACTCGTCGTTCGTCGTGCGTCATGTGTCGTGCGTCGTGCATCGTCGTCGTCGTCGTGATCGTCGTCGATCACAGCGGGCCTGCGACGCAGCCCCCCCATGCGGCATCCGCAGTCCGTCGTCGCCGCTGGCGTCGTCGTCGTCGTCGACTGCAACGGGCGTGTGCAGCAACCTTCCCCGCCATGGGGTATCCGTAGTGCGTTGCGTCGTCGTCGTCGTGTTCGTTGTCGTCGTCGATGACGGCTGGCCTACGCAACACCCCCCCATGGGGCATCCGCGCTACGTCGCCGTCCGTCGTCATCGTCGTCGTCGTCGTCGTCGTCGTCGTCGTCGTCGTGGTCGTCGGCTGCAAAGGGTCTGGGCAGCATCCCTCCCCATGAGGTAGCAGCGTTGCGTCGCGCGTCGTCGTCGTCGTCGTCGTCGTCGTCGTCGTCGTCGTCGTCGTGGTCGTCGTCGTCGCCGTCGTCGTCGTTCGTCGGGTCCATGCAGTCCCTCCCCATAGGACATATAGTAGTCGAGGGGGGAAGGGTGAGGGGGTGGAGAAGGAGAAGAGCCGTCGCCGCCTCCCTCTGCCGCTCCTCTCCCCTTTTTTTTTTTTCCTGTTTGTAGCCATGTTGGCGCCGCCCGCCAGCTGTGAGGCGCCTGTTCCTCCCGCCTCCTGTTCCCCCCTCTGTCTCTTGCCATTTTGGCCCAAACGCCCCGCTGTAGCGGAACCGCTGCTGTTTCCCCCACGCTGAAGCGGCGCCGCTCTCGTCGCGTCTGTCGCCCTCCAATTGTTGGTTGGGTGTCGGCGCTGTTCGCCTGCGTTGCCGCGGTGCGTTTCAATCTGGCGGTCGCCCCCCCCACAATTACATTTTTTGCAAACGCGCCTGCCTTGATTTTGGTAGCCACAAGCTGACATAAGATGGGGTCGCAGGATCGTGCCACATTTCTGATGCATCGGCGATGCGGTTCGATGTGGCGTCTGATTTTCCCCACGCCGACGCATCTGATGCAGTGGCAACGTCAGCGGATGCATCGCCGATGCGTTGGCTATTCCCGCCCCCATATAATCGGAACCCATTTGGGAGGTCACCAATTAGCGGCTTGAGCCAGGGCAGTTCTGGATGATCGTTGCTGGTGGACAGCGGAGATCGGGCAATATTGGTCGACCCACGCGGCACCAAAAACTAACATCCACGTCGGTACGGCAAGAATTTCCCGTGGCAAGCTGTTTTTGTAATTCGTTGTCGTCGTTATACTGTGGCATTTGTCTCTCTCTCGCTCTCTCTCTTTTTTTTTTTTTTTCTCTCTCTCTCTCTTGTTCTCCGTGGCGATGCGATGCGCAATGACATGTACGGGAGCACTTGGCCAATACGGGCAAGATGTGTGATGGGGTCGTTATCCACGTTGGCCTTGGCAGGCGATGCATCGCTCCAGAGTGTTTTTAGAGTGTTTTTGCACGTTGTGGACTGGCCGCCACGCCCAATACGTCTTCCAGACCAAGCGGCTCTCAGAGACTCCCGCCCTGATGGAACCTGACGGTCCCATGGCCCAGGGCTTGATCAGGTTGACGCTTGTTTCTCCCGTCTGAAGGCGGGTCCATGTGTGACCCCTCCCATCGATTTGTAAATCGTTGCTGCGTGAGTTATTCAAATGGCGTGGCCGACTTGCTTGTACTGAAAAGTTGTTACGCGCGTGTGTGATTTATCCAGAGCACCCCTTTGCTTTTAGTGTTCTGGTCCACTCCGCGTCCCCATCCACCACCCTGTTCTCTCGAGCTCGAGATTTCTTGCTCTGAGCGTGGGGCAAAGAGGGCCATGGGTCCCAATTTGGTGGTTTATGTTCTGGGTTCGGCTCTGCAGTCGCCTTTCGTGGTCGACCGCCAGCCTCATGGCGCCCGATGGCAAGAGCGGATCGGCGTCGAAGCGTTGGCCAGCACTTTTTAGACAAAGGGCGAATGAATTGAACAACCGCTTACATCGCCGCCGCCTGGTTGGCAACAGGGCCCTTCTTTCCATCCGCTGACAGTGCCCCTGTCCTAGTTGCAACGGTGGTGCCTGAGGCTGCTCTCTGTGTTTGCGCGGGGCGCCCAGCGCCCCGCAGGCTGAAATCAGCTTCCCCCAGGAGTCGACCGAGCTCCAGAGACTCCTCGAGGACGGCGGCTGCGGGGCTCGGAGGGGGTCGGTGCATGCACTAAGTGTTTCGGTCGGCCAGTGGGCCAAGAGATTCGGCGAAGAAGATTGGTGTACAGATGCTCTG